AAGTTATTGGCAACACTGTCCTATATCCGCTGTGCATGTGTCAAAACTTTAATCATTGTTGTTGACACAATCCAATTTTTGTTCTGCAACTGCGAATTTCCAGCCAAGTTCCACCATGGATTCTTTAACAGCGGTTTTCAATAAACTAACTACGAACGGGGAGAGGGGGAGAGGGGGAGAGGGGGAGAGGGGGAGAGGGGGAGAGGGGGAGAGGGGGTGCTTTATTGTTCTTCATAAATTAAATTAAAAACAAGAAACTCCTCTATATTGTATGCTCCGTCCATTCTGAAAGAAAGGAAAAGAAACGGATGGAATGGTGCCCTCCACTACTACTCCGGTTTGTGTTTCGGTTTGACCAGCCTGAAATTATCTAGTCTTGTTTTAGCTTTTAGTTTGCTGTGGCTGCCGGATGGTGGCTTTCAATGGCTATTGCTCCATCGAGGTCATGACCGTTCCGGTGGTACTGGTAGTGACGGTCGCTGAAGATGCCAGCGGCGACGACATGGTGGTGAGACTGCATCGGGAATCGCATTTTGCAGCACTTTGTTAATGCATACACCTGCTCACACTCGTGCTCACCGCTGAAGCAGCTAGCATTGCAGCAGGAATATTTTTGTCGCATTCTGAAATTAACTGCTTCGTCCCGTTTCTTGCCGTCCAGTTGGTACATGACCTTGGCCTCTTCGAACTATGAATCCGTGGTGTTCCGGTCGGGTGGTTGGCATCGATAGCGTGAACCCGTCCAGCGATTGTAGATTTCGAATACCACCAGATGCGCTTTGATGTTGTCTTTGCCGTGCTCGTTGTCCAGCGGGCGAGGGAGCTCGATCACGTTCTTGAGGAGATCATCCTGTCGGGCCAGTTTGTCCGATATCAACTTGTCCACCTGGAGTGCCTCTGGAACATCGTCTTGGTAAGGATGGTTAGGATCTGGGATAGGATTTCACTCTCGATTCTACCATAGAGGTAACTCTAAGACCAGAAGGTCCGCAAGAAACGTGCTCAACTTTTTGGCTCAGCTCTGGTATTCTCTTCGGTCCCAAGCTAATCGATGCACCCCTCGAAACATAGGAAAATCCACGAACCCCTCATTTTATCTGCCAAATTTTCATAGCGAATCAAAACAAACATTGTGTAGTACTAGAATTTCGACTAGAATGGAGTATGTTAATCGATTTGCTTGGGACTAATAGGTTAGTCAAGCAGTGAGCCAATTTTAAATCGTTAGTTTCCACCGGTTGTGCTTGTTTTGTTTCTTCAAAATTCAACATTTTTGAAGTGTCAAATTAACCGGGTTGCCAAACATGTCATTATACAAACAAACAAATTCAGTCTGATGACTGACACTCTTGGCACTGCCGTCACAGCTACGGCACACATGAGGCACAATGAGAAAAATATTGGCGCAAAATACGTGTGTAGAGTGACCATCCTTGGCTCTGAACCATTTTGCGATTTTTTTTTTTCAACTTTTGGTTAAAATTTGACAGATGAAAGTAGAAGGGTCTGTGCCTAGGGCACGAACGGAAGCTTGACGTAGGACCGCTAGTGGACGGAATAAATGTGAAGAGCATTTAGTTCTTTTAATTGATCAATTATGTATTATCTCAACTCTTTCCGTTTTTGAATTGTAGGCGTACCAAAGAGAAAGTTGATTAAGAGAATCAATCAAAATCACTTGCACCCCTGCTTCTAAGTTTGGTTACAAGATTACAAGATTACAAGATTACATAGATTACAGAGAGCATTTAGTGTGGTCGTTGGAGGCTTGTGGTTCTGAATATGGACAAACAAGCACAGATAAATTCTATTCCAACTCTTTACTGATGTAAGCTTGATGGCCCTGAAAAGGGCCGTTTTATTGAAGAGGACATCCATGGCCACTTACGCTTGGCGTGTTTAGTGTAGGTGACAGCATCACGGACCTCATTTTCCAGGAAGACTTTCAGCACACCTCGTAGATCAGACCGGAGATACGTTTGACACCACCACGGCGAGCCAGACGACCGATGGCGGTTATCTCGAAGAACTTTGCGATGACGCTTGGCGCCTCCGTTATCAGACCTTTTCCTCCTTTGCCACGACCAGTCAATTGTTGCTTGTTAGGTGTGAAAGAGTGGACTAGCCACCACCTTCCTACTGCTGCTTTTGCTGTTCACCACGCCATCCGAAGCAAAAATGAGCTAATGCCATACAGCAGCGCTCTTTTATATCTTTTCAGGTTAGAGCAGAATGATGTGCAACCAAGTGGTATAAAAACTACAAAGACTCCTCCCATTATGAGTAGTTTGCTATCAAGTAGCGACACTGGCTCTTTTCCACACGGCGAATGAGAACGACCCAAATTTGAGTTTAGTTCACTCATAATCGCCAAACGTGCAGGAACTCAGCGATGAGTAAATTTGTCTCATGGTTTCCTATGGAAAACGTAAAAAATCTGCCTGAAAATAAGGAAATTGACGGAAATTTTATTCAATCTCGGAGTAGTACCAATAGACTGAGTGAATTCAATCTTTACTTTTCTCAAATTCGGGATTTTTTTCCTGGAAAATCCTGAAAAAATCTGGGAAAACATGAGGCAAATTTACTTATCGCTGAGTTCCTGCACTTTATTTCTTATTTCGGAGATAACTAAACTCAAATTTGGGTCGTTCTCATTCGCCGTGATATCATCTTGAAAGATATCGGCGCCGGTGGTTAGCGTGATTACCTCTCATCCCAGCAGGCCTGGGTCCAATCTCAGTCGGCGCCACCGGCATGTTCTAAGGCATAACATCTCTGATCACGCCTTCCTTCGGGAAGTAAAGCCGTTGGTCCCCGGTTGAGTTGATGGGTCGATTGGTAGGGTCCAGGTGTAGGAGCTGCCTCCCTGGCATTGGAGCTCAGTACGGAAAATAAATCTCGCTTCACTTTTCAATAGGTCCTATCTACATTGATCGATTCTCTTTATCGACACTCTCTTTCGTAAATAACTCGGTTTCACAAATGTTTCCTGCTGTCTTCGTCGAATTAGATGCTAGATTGTTGCTTCTTCCATCGAAAATATCCGGCCGTGGTGATTCAAAGTTGATCAAGGTTGATCAAAATAATTTGTATCCCTGCTTCCAGTTTGATTACATGAGCATTTTGTGTGGTCGTTGGTTCTGAATAAGGACAAACAGGCAGATGAATTCTATTCCTACTCTTTACTGTAATAAGCTTGGTGGCCCTGAAAAGAGCCGTTTTGTTGCCAAAGTTGGTGATGATTTAACCTCCGAAACCAAACAGAGTGCGTCTCTGTCACTTCAAAACGTAGATGACATCCATGGCCGCTTACGCTTGGCGTGTTTAGTGTAGGTGACAGCATCACGGATCTCATTTTTCAGGAACACCTTCAGCACACCTCGTAAATCAGACCGGAGATACGTCAAACACCGCCACGGCGAGCCAGACGACGGATGGTGGTTATCTCGAAGAATTTGCGTTTGGTTCTGAATATGGCGATGAGTGTGCAAAATATTAAGCAATTCCATCCTCCCTATTCGCACACGCCTGAGGATAGGAGGCGAATGCCACTTCGACTTGTTTCGTCTACTTACTACTCTCTGACGACTGTGCTGGGGAAGCAGCATATGCATGTAGGTAATTGGTGGATTTGTTAGTTAATTCGACGCTTTTGGACAATGCTGGACATTTACCAGTTTTTCAATAGTTTCTTGTTGAAAATCAACATTCGGAAGCACTGTTATCGATGCGTAGCCATATATCTGATCGATTGGTGATTAAATTATTTAAATTGGACAAGGGGCAGCTGAGTTATTAACGTTCAAAATCTTTCTTAATGTGTTACATGTTTCATTTTCGGTTTTCACAAAGTGCACCCCCATATAGAAATCAAAGACGTAGTCCTACGTCAAAAATCGCCTAAAGTATCAAAATTTTCCAAAATAACACTGAAAATTCATGATTGGTTTTTTTTCATAAGTGAGATGGCGAAATTTTGTGATGAAAGTGCTAGTAGGATTCTTAATCTAAACACAATAAGGAATGATCGTGAAAGTTTGATTGAAAAACTTAGTTTACATTTTAAACTAATAAAATAGTTATTCAAGTCATCGATCAAAAGTTTGGGGTCACCCTGAAAACAAAATCTGTTAATAATTTTGTTCATATTTCATGAAATTTAATGAACGTTCCTCATTGTGTACATAATAAGGGCCCTACTTTTTAAATAAAATCTTTCATGAATATTCAGGCTGAATTTTGAAAAATGTTAACATAAGGTGAAGTTTTAGTATACAAAATTAGAAAAATATCCTGAGCCAAGCACATACGAAGTAATTCCTGTTCAGTACCCTAAGACATAAAGATAAACAAAATCTAACGGAAAATGACAGAGATCTCAACAAAACAACAAAACAACATTTGCATATCTTTTGTAGAGTGACCCCACAGCAACAAATGACGAAATAATTTCCTTGACTGAATTCAAATTTGAGACAGTACATTTTTTTTTAAAGCATTTTGTTGTCACGACTTCATAGCGGATAATTTTCCTGATGAAAACAAATCACTTACACAATCACACTTTACGGCGCCGGTGGTGTAGTGGTAAGCGTGATTACCTCTCACCCCAGCAGGCCTGGGTTCAATCCCAGTCGGCGCCGCCGGGATGTTCTGAGGCATAACATCTCTGATCACGCCTTCCTTCGGATGGGAAGTAAAGCCGTTGGTCCCCGGTTCATGAGTTGATGGATCGATAGGTAGGGTCCAGGTGTGGGAGCTGCCTTCCTGGCACGTCGGTAGCATTGGTGCTCAGCACGGAAAACAAGATCGACGGAAAAAACAAACCAAAGGAAAAAAAAAAAAAACAATCACACTTTAGCAATATCTATTGACAATACAGTTTTGCTCGTCTGGCTCCTGTTAAAATTTTGTTCTAGTCACTAGCTATTGTTTGCAACATTGAAACAAAACTGAAATAAAAATGCATTCATCTAACATCCTTTTTCCAATTTTAGGTCTAGCTGCCGAACACTTTTGGACGTCCGGCACCGATCTAGCCGAAGAAGGTAGCTTCTTCTGGATTTCGAACGGACGACCACTGTCGTTCACCAACTGGAACGCCGGTGAACCGAACAACTTCCGGTACGAGAATGGCGAGGAGGAGCACTGTCTGGAGCTGTGGAATCGCGACGGCAAAGGACTCAAGTGGAACGATACGCCGTGCAGTTTTGAGACGTACTTCATCTGTGAGGTTTGAGGCTGAGGCGACGGATGCAGGGATGGAAGGGACGAATGTTGTCATTTGGACATATTGGTGGTAGTGAACTTCGATAAGTTAGGTGGAGTTTTGATATTGGATGAAGATGGTCAAGAATACTGAAAGATAACGAACCATTTCCAAAATGATTTTCAATATTGTGCCATGACCATCGAATATCAAATTTGATGCAAAAATCTGTTAACATTCGTTTATCGCAAACAAAACATCCATTAACTACGAAGTGAAATGCCCTCCCGCAACAATCCGCTGTATTCTCACTGTCGAATCAACTCCCCATCCAGAACATAAACATCAAAGTTTGTTATCGTTCATCTATGAGATTCTACGCCCCCCCCCCTCGAACCCTCTAACATTACGAAGTATTTGTTTTCCTAATTTTAAGTATGTATTCGAGAGCCTGAGCCTATTTCAAAGATACAAGTCTGTTCAAATCTCTAACTAGTAAGTTGCGATTGTTCTTAGCATACTTAGCATTACTTTAAACCAACGTGTCGCGTCTAGATTTACATCGAAAAAAATATGTAAAAAATGTAAAAAAAAAAATCAATATTTATACAAGCAAAGATCGAACTTCAACAAAGATCACTTCGTTCTTCCAGTGATTAAATGTTAAGTGAAGGAGATAACGTGGTAGAATAATTTGGTTTAAAACAGGTATTTCTAAGACATCAGAGTGTAAATATTTCTTACTCTCATTTGTGTTGCCGGCCAGAGTGTAATAAAGTTATAGTCAATGTCAGAAGGATATGCATAACGATATTTAACTTTATTTCAAATATTCACAAAGAACCTGCCTTTTACCCTTACAATTCGTGTCAATCCAGAATGCTTGTTTATTACCCAAAACCGCTACACAATTATGGTTGTTGTTCATATCATTGGGTTCGTTGTGTCTCCAGTGAGTAAAGGTTACAGGCTTTCCACTAAACTGCCACCGAAATTGCCCGTTAACTCCCAAATCATTGGCCCCGATCCAGTACTGCTTGTTCCGCGCCACTCCATTGGCATCTATCTCCATACCTTCAACATATAATCAACAATCAGTATTAAATACGCAAAAATATGCATTTCGTGATTTTATCTCACCTCCTTGCCGAACAATTTCCTTCACCTTGGCATTATCCTCCGGGGATTTAACTTCAGCCAGGTGCTTCCTAAGTGACCTGCAGTAATCCGCGGCTTGAAACCAATTGATTTTTTCAGCCACGTTGAAGTTAGACGCGTGGAAATACTTTTGTTTCTTCCCATGTCCCAGCTCGAGTTGATCAGTTGCCTCAGCTTGAGGTGGCACCACCAGTCCGCAGGATTTCACAACGAATTCCTCAAATGCCGATACTTTGGTGAACCCGGTGTAATCGTTAGTGCTGCACAAATTCGAATCCGTATCCCTTGCAGCCGTGAACGACACTATTCCTATCAGATACCAAACGTTGTTCCGGTTGTAGTACAGCCCACCGCCACTGTCACCGTTGCATACGTTTGTTCCTGGAAGTTTGAAAATTAGAAATACATCATTTATTCATACATTTGTTATCACTAATTATGGTGCGAGCTACTTTGGAGCGTTTACCAAAAAATCAAGCCCAGTTTTTTTTTCGATGCATCATTTCAGATTTCGAAAAGCTGCCGCTTGCATTCTAGAATGTTTAAAGAAAGAGAGATGCATTAGTAATTTCCAATTACTACGCACCACTACGCTAGACTTTCGTTGAGTGAAAGATTTTTAATTGGAACGTATTTCAACTGATAGTCCGCTAACTGAAACAAATTCTCAGTTAAAGGGCATGTTTCTGGTCCAAGTAATGCAATTTCTAAATGTCAAGATGAACCGGATGAAAATTGATGCGTTTTTAATGCATTAACTGGTTTGACACATGCAACTCAGTTAGCAAATGCCGTTTGATACGTGAAAAGTAAGCATTTCTCAGTTGGCGAACTTGAGTGTTCTTCAGTGTCAAGGATAAGCCTTCTCTCTTTCTTTATACAGGTATTCCGCTATAGACGAATCTAAACTGATTTGGATAGGGATGGACGCGGCTCAAGATCCCTGGTTCCAGTTGTAACGGTCACTCCATGTTGTAAATAGTAAATTAGTCATAAATAAAATAAGAATGAAATAGATCTAATCCATACGCCAAAAACTATGCCAGTAGCAAAACGACACTGGTCGATTTACTATAAAAATTATTATTATTATTATTATTTAACTTTATTAGGGAGGCTTTCAGCCTTGGGCTGGTTTGCCTCCAGTACTATAAAAATAGAATGCCTCGTGAGTAAAGCCGCTCGACCTTGCACAATTTCTCCCAAGGCCAGTGAAATCTTCGGGAAAGTTGGGAAAAGAGAGAGTGTGGCTACACCCGACTTTGAACGAAGGACCAGCGAACGGAATAATCTCTCGCAATGCCGATCTAGTTCGAAGAAGTTCGCGGGAAAATCGAACTTCCTTAAGTTCGGCCGAGGTCATCTTCCTTAATCTGAGGGTCACGGTTTCGCTTCACTTTCGTCCGAACCGCAGATTACGTGGAAGTGTTTCGTTTTGTTCGCGTGATAGTTTCGTTTTGTAAAGTGAGTTATTTAAAGCAACGTGGTTTTACTTTTATACTTAAATACTAATTTCTCCTCGTTGATTGTTTAGTTATAATTATAAAGCTAAACGTAGTGTGTGTCTTAGGCTAGACTTTGTGTGTGCGAAAAACAAGCTAGGCCAGGTAATGTGCTCGTTAAAGAAAATCTGTGCATTGTGCTTAATGTTCTATTCACCAGCCGACGGGTTCGTGTAACTTCCAACGCCATCATCTGCATCCCCGGGGTGAATAATCCCGGCAACCGTCACCTTGTCCGGTGGAAAGCGAGCCGCATCTACATCGCTGAGCGGGGCTTGTGGTCAACAACTGCCATTGCTGTTGAGATCACGTTCGTACAACCACGTGGAAATCGTTGGCCGTTCAACACCAACGATCGAACGCGCATCGATTGAGTAGCATCGTCGCCGCGCCAGTAACAGCAGCGCAACAATCAACAGCAGCTAAATCAACTAGTGAGTCCGTTCTGTGTTTTTCGTTGAGGGTGGCGTCCGGCGAGGGCGCCACGGAGGACCTTTTTTGTCGACCATAAGGTCGAAGAGCATGAATTGTTAAGATTTTGATTAGTCTAATAATTCTAGATAGAGCTGGAATTAGGGCGTAACAGCTTTGGTAAACAATGACTTCTGTCGATGATTTCCAGGAACTCAATGCACGCTCACGCAGACCAACATAACCATCGGATAGGGGAAATCTTTCCCTACCCGATGAGGATGTTGGTTTGCGTGGGCGAGCCTTAAATTTCTAGAAATAATCGATAGAAGGCATTGTTGTCGAGTCTGCAGTTGAAGTCCTCCAGCCTGCTCTTCCAGGCAAGTACGTTCAATATCATATGCTTTCACTACCTGATCGACATTCCGTTTCCAGCGTGTGTCTCGTCGAGGACACTATTGGCTACAATACACCGACACTTAGCCCTCCACTACTTTTCTACGCTTACTCTTCACACCATTCTCCAACGCAACCAAGATCACCGCCATCGAACCCGGGACGCCTGACACAAAGCAGTACGGAAGCCCCTGACCCGCCTAGCTCAGTCGCGCCTCCAGCCATCATCGAAAACCTGTCGCAGTTCTCTCGTTCCTGCCATCCAAGTCGTCCCGGCCCTGAGTCTAGCGCTGGCGATGGGGTCTTCCAAGCTGCCTATCATGGCAAGTATCCTATTAGTAACGGCAATCCCCGCTCTGACGAATCTTCAATCCCTAGGACTGCGCCTCTAGCAAGTAATGCTGCACCTGTTTCTTCGAATGTCCTGATGTACTACCAAAATGTTGGTGGGATCAACAGCTCTCTCGCCGAGTACCAATTGGCCTTCAGCGACGGTTCCTATGATGTTTACGCACTTTCCGAAACTTGGCTCAATGGACATACCTCAACGAATCAGTTGTTTGGCGAATCATATTCCGTTTATCGACAAGACCGGTCGCCTTCGAATAGCAACAAAACCACTGGAGGTGGTGTTATGCTGGCTGTTCGCTCGAGTTTTAAATCCCGTACGCTCGACCCTCCTGATGGCTCGGCGTTTGAGCAAATATGGATCGCAATTGCCACTGTCGATGCAACACTCTACCTATGCGTTGTATATATTCCCCCTGATCGAGTAAACGATGAATCTTTGATCGAAAAGCATATCGATTCGCTTAACTGGGTGGTTTCGCAGTTAGGACCAAGAGACAACGTTATCATCCTAGGCGATTTCAACTTGAGCTCGATCTCTTGGCAGCGTAGTCCACATGGTTCCCTGTACCCGATTACATCACGATCCTCGATTAGCTTGGCATCACGGAAGCTGCTTGATGCGTATAGCACCGCTGGACTCAGACAAATGAGTGGAATTGCAAATGAAAACAATCGTACGCTTGATCTATGCTTCGTCAGTGAGGAACTTTGCGAGCACAGCACAGTTATGCAAGCTCCATCACCGCTCGTTAAAATCTGCAGGCATCATCCTCCTGTACTGATGGAATTCAAGATAAGTCCACAGCAACGCTTCCAAGATACCTCTGAAAGCATCGCCTATGATTTCAGAAAGGCTGACTTCAACAGCATGAACGAGTTCCTCGCACATGTCGATTGCGACGAGGTGCTTCAAAATTGTGATGCCAACCTCGCTGCGTCGACCATATCTGGTATCCTGTGGTATGCCATCGATCAGTTCGTTCCCGTGAAGTCTAGACACGAACCGGCTAAGCCAGCCTGGTCAAATGCTGACCTCAAGCATCTTAGGACTGTGAAGCGGGCAGCTCTCAGACGACATAGCAAGTATCGCACGGACTCCACGAGAATGAGATATATGGCGGCGAGCACTGAATACAACGAACTTAATAATCGTTTGTACAACGCATATCAGGACCATTAGCAAAGGCGCTTCAAGACAAATCCCAGAAGTTTTTGGCGTTACGTCCATGACCAACGGATGGAATCCGGACTGCCCTCTACGATGACCAACGGATTGTTCGAAGCTGATTCTACCACTGACATCGCCGACCTATTCCGTTCTCAATTTAGCAATGTTTTCACTAATGAACACATCGACCCGCAGGATGTAGCCGTCGCCACCAGAAATGTTCCTCAACTTTCGGCCTCTGGGCTACAGTTCGTGATCACGAACAATATGGTTATATCAGCCGGAAAGGATTTAAAATCCTCCACGGGATGTGGTCCGGATGGGATTCCATCGCTTGTCCTCAAATGCTGCGCGGATACACTTGCAACACCACTAGAAAGAGTATTCAACCTATCTTTGGCTACTGATGTATTCCCAAACTGCTGGAAGCAGTCGTATGTTTTCCCAGTTTTCAAGAAAGGCTGCAAGCGGATTGTTTCGAACTATCGGGGCATAGCTGCGTTGAGCACCACTTCTAAGCTGTTTGAGGTGATCGTTCTGCATAAGCTGGTTCAGAACTACGCACACTACATTTCGATTGATTCGCACGGATTTATGCCTAACCGTTCGACGACAACTAATTTGACTTGTTTCACTTCGTTCGTGATCCGCCAAATAGAAAATGGTCAACAAGTAGACGCTATTTACACAGACTTATCCGCGGCGTTTGATAAAATGAATCATCAAATCGCAGTTGCTAAATTCGACAAGCTGGGAATGAACAGTAACTTGCTTTCCTGGCTTCGATCCTACCTAACCGGTCGAAGTATGTCCGTCAAAATTGGAGACCACGCCCTCCTTTCCGGTTTGGTCCGGTGTTCCCCAAGGAAGTCACTTGGGGCCGTTTCTATTCTTGCTATATATGAACGATGTCAATTTCATCTTGAAATGCCTAAAACTCTCGTATGCCGATGACCTGAAGCTTTACTACACGATTAAGCAACCACAAGACGCGTTTTTTCTGCAGCAACAACTGGAAGCCTTCGCTGAATGGTGTCATATTAATCGAATGTCGCTGAACGTGTCCAAATGTTCAGTTATTTCGTTTGGCCGCAAGCAATCACTCTTCCATTTTAGCTATGCTCTGGGAGGCGTGAATCTACAACGTGATTCGACAGTCAAGGACCTGGGGATTCTGGTTGATCCAAAATTAACCTTCAAGGATCACGTCTCGTACGTTGTGTCTAAAGCCTCATCGCAACTAGGATTTTTGTTTCGCTTTGCAAAAAAGTTCAAGGACGTTTACTGCCTAAAAGCTTTATACTGCTCAATTGTGCGCCCTATCTTGGAGTATTCGTCTATCGTCTGGTCTCCTTATTACCAGAATGAAACTCAACGCATCGAAGCTGTTCAGCGAAAATTCGTCCGGTTCGCTCTATGTTATCTTAGGTGGAGAGATCCATTCAATCTGCCCAGTTATGAAAGCCGTTGTCTACTTATAAATCTGGAATTTCAAGAAGCAAGACGCAACGTGGCAAAAGCGTGCTTTGTTGGGGATCTTCTGCAAGGCAACA